TAATAACCGGGTGGGTATTTTAAAAAATTTTTAAAAAAATTTTATAAATTTTTATATATGAAATTTAAAAAAAAAAGTCGGCCGGCCGGGTTTGTTTAAAAGTTTCATGTTATGTAAACCAATATATTAAATTTGTGTGGCCTAAGTGCTTCGTTTGTTACTTTTTCAACATCACTTAGAAGCAAATTTTCGTGTAACAGTTTATCGAAAAAAGTCCAAAAAATCAAATCAGCCGAACTGCTCTAAGAGAATTTAGAGCGATCGTGTCATTTACAGCGGAGAAAATCCACCTGAAAACATGGATATGGAATGTGTTAGCAATGTTTGCAAAATATTTCATTACAATCAGTGTTGGACATGGACAAATATGGATATGGACAAACAAATTTTTAACAAAGTATCCTGTGTAGTAACGGCAATTTACGGATTTCCCCAATATCCCGCATGAAATAAAGGTAATCAAGTTATGGTTCACTCATGTCTTTGCCAAAACCTTTCGAAATGTTACCCGTATTTTACGTTCAATGACTTTATATTCGAAATATTTCGGAATAGTAAGCATTCGATTTTTATTTGAACTAAGTATCTATGCCCAACAAAAAAAATATGGAACAATATGGTAGATGTTCATGTCCATTGGTCCATATTGTCTATGTTTATGTTCTGCCAACACTGATTACAATTACATCGAGAAATAAACACCCTCACTACGTCTTTTTTTTTTTTTTTATCTTTAATACTATATTAACAGAAGCAATTTAGCCATTTTGCTGTTCTGAGATCATAAAAGAGTGTAGTAAGAAGATTATTTCAGTGTAACAAAGTATAGATAGAATTAATTATGAAGAGAACCTTAACCTAAACTGAAATATGCCAAAGCAATGTTAATGAATGTGATGTAGCTAGGAATTAGACAAATATTATCAACGCATGTCTATAATTCACTTACGTTCGATAGGTCAGTCGACTTCGATAAACTATAGCGAATAAAATGAATATTAAATAGATTTAAATTATGAATACTTAACATTAGACCTTTTGTACTCACTGTGGATATATTTTGAGTCGGGCATGATTAGTTTGGGTAAATCTCCATAATATATACTCTGCAGCTTTATAACAGTCAGAACCTCCTAACATTTTGTTAATGACAAAAATATGATGAAAATATTCGTACAATTATGTACAATGTATAAATTGTGCACACATTAAATTAAGATACCCAAAAATTCTGGAAAATAATCTTCGAGAGGGACTCGGCACAGTTTAGCTTCAAATAAATCGAGTTTGTTTAGAATCAAAATTATAGAAGTTTGCAAGAACCAATGGCTATTAACTATTGTTTCGAATAATTGAAGACTCTTCTTTAGTCGGTTCTACAATGTGTAAGGGTTAGTTCTTGAAATTTTCTAATAGAGATTTGTAAATGACAAACCACCTCGCCTAATTCATCTTGATCGTATTCGTCGAGAGCGACACAAAAGACAATAGAGGTCACGAATTCGAAATGATGAAACAATTTGCTTTGATATATTGTTTTGTCTACATCAAGCATACTAATACGGGTCCAGGAAATGGAATGTCAAATTTTAAACCAAGTGAATAAGAATATGCATAACATTAAAATAAGTCCTCATACAGTATGTTTCGTTGACAAATGTTAATTCTTGTTTCAGATATTCCAGATTTTTTGATTTGCACCCTAAGGATATCACCGTTATTTGGAACGTAGCCCCGAAATCCAATTCTCCTGACCGCATCCAAAAAGCTAGAAAAATAGATAAGATTAATAAATGCTTATATTTGACTGATTATGAAATATACTCACTAAGGTGCTGAATCCATCAAATAAAAATGGGCTTGCTTAGCAAGTACTTCCGATATTATCGGATCATTCCATAATGAATCAATGGCTTCAACTATTTCTGGACTTAGTTGAAATTCGGTGTTGGATTCGACATTATACTCAATAATTATATCCATGAAAAACTAAAAAAAAAAAAAAACAATATTCATATATAATTTCATTTTTGCTAATTATAACTACAGGAAATACGGAAACGTACGTACTTTATTTATTGTTTTCTTGGGCTCTAACCGAAAATTTTTAATAGCATAAACAATTGCTTGTGCAGAGTGTATAAGGTTTTCATAAACTGCTATCCGATATAGTGATAATTCTTCCCGTGAATAACCATCAGAAATCAATTTTATCTGTTTGGCTATCGTCGATTCTCCTGATTTATCTAAATCTAAAATATGACATACCATTAATTTTAAGGTTCACTTGAAAAAAACAAGTATTATTTTCCCTGTAGCAAATGATTATGATAGACAAGGTTTCGTTCCCATTTTTAAAACACAAAATACCTATCAAGAGAAGTTTAATCTCTTTCCTGGATTTTATTTGGTCTTCTTTAATCTGCTTATCAATTTGATAACTTTGTAGTCGCAATTCTTTCGCTTCTGCAGACAAACGTAAGCCCATGATACTGTTTTGTATATACTATTTTTTTGAAGACGAATATTTTCCGTGGTACCTTTATTAATTATTTGAATTTAAATATTACAATTTGTACAACTTAAGATTGCTTTGTCCTCACAGCATATACATTTGCTAATTTCCCTTGTTCTGCAACAAAGAAAGTGTAACATGAAAATTAAAAAGCAATGATATTTTTTCTGAAGAATCACATTTATTTTATGATTGCGCCTAAAAACTACTTTCTGCGCACTAACAAAAAAGAAATTTCTTGTAAAATTTGGTTGTAATATTAACTCCTAACCTATTACAAACCCTAAAAGATATCACAATTTCAATAAAGCTAGAGTTGCTGGTACAGGTGGTGCATCACTAAATGACATGGTCATTTGATCAAAATTTAAATAACCCCAAGTCATCAAATAATATCCAGGTCATTTAGGTCATTTGCATATAAAGTAATTTTATTGATTGAATTACTCATATAAAAAGTTATCGAACTTTATTACTTTTCTAATCGATAATCGTAGCTATATATTATTAAAATTAAAATTTTATTAAGTCAATTAATATTTTATGCCTTAAGCAAAGTTATTCGGGATAATAAATTGCGTGTATTTTGAAATTTTCATGTAAATTAAATACCTTTTTATTAATTACTTTCGCATATTACTTTTACGCGAAAAAATTTCTAAACGTAAGATGCGAAAGTGAATTCATAAAAATTTCAGAACATATGCAATTTATTATCCCGAACAACTTTATTTAAGGCATAAATATCAATTGATTTAGTAAAATTTGATTTTGATATATAGCTACGATTATTGATTATATTTAATTTTGATATATTTAATTTTGATTGGCGGCCAATTCAAGTTGGTTGAAAGGTATTAGAATATTAACTAACATAGATTAATGACCTTCTAAGGTCATTTAACAAATGACTATGTAGTCATTTGTCCTTTGGGTCATTTTAGGTAATTTACCATCCCTGGTGTCACATGGTGCGCTATTAAAATTATATCTCAGCAACCCTCTTAAAATAAAGTGATATTTAAATTAGTACAAATAAATGAGTATTTACTTGTTTACTATTTTAGTACGTATTCGGATATTGATTACGTAAAAATTTTAAATATTATTGGATATTTAGAGACAAGCAACTAGTTAGCATAAATTCAATACGCATACGGTGATTAGTATTACACAGTGGCTCTCGATATAACAGAGAATTATAACGGAACCAAATTATGATTTACTATAATATCTTATATATCATGAGATTTTGATATAACAGAGTTTTTGATATAACGGAGCAAAGAACTGGAACCATGGCCTCCGTTATATCGAGAGCCACTGTGTATGCATAAACTTAAGGTTGAAATTTTGACTCTGAGTTTGCATCTCTTTTTTCTTTTTTCTTTGGCAGCCTCGCCGATATCTTTATTAAGTTTTATATATATCTATATAGGGATGTTATTTGGTCCGGTCTTGGACTAATAGACTGCGGTCTGTCATAGGATCAATCTAAACCTATAAGAAGTTGATCCTATTCGGTCTATTCTTAGTCTTAAAAGAGTCAAGACCGTGATCTTAAACCAGTCTTAGAAATGGTTACAAAACTATTTAGTTATTTAGACTGGCTCTAGATTAGTTCTTATATAGATTATAAAAACCAGTTCAAAACTAGTCTTTTATTATAAATTTAAACTGAATGTTATGAGTTCAGACTGAAGGTCTGGACTATGAATAGCTTCTTATTTTAAAAATCAGTTTAGATCAGTTTCTATTATAAATTTAAACTATAAGTTTAAACTACTGGCCCTCTAAACGATCTTAGAACTGAACTGTAATTAAACCAAAAAAGACTGGACCAAATTGGACCAAAAATAGGTCGAGCCATACTAAGCTGAACTGTTATCATTCCTATATCTATATATCTAGTTATACATATACACTTAAACTACAGATTCGATATCCCCCGGCTACTTCTAAGAGCGCCCAGGAGCGGTCTGCCGCACCGGCTAAGGATTTACCCACACCGGAGGGCTATACCAGGCTAGTTTAGGAGACCGTACCAGAACGGTCTCAACTTATTCTTAATATAATTTTTAATTGAGCCAAACCATGTTTTCTTTACTTCTTTGTTTCTATTGTTATGCCTGAAAGCTACCTCTTATGAGTTCAGTATAACGAATCTACTTTAGCAACGTATATGCTATTAATTAATTACTAATAACGTTTATGCTTAAGTAAATATAAGATTTATTGCAGTTACGCTTTAAGAGGATTAAGTGATTTGCAGTTATGAAAGAGGCAAACGGCTAAAAGTATATGAAGATACAATTAGACGTATAAGTGTATACAATAAATAATTCTAACATCTATATCGTAAACTCTCTTTACGATAATATTGTGTATGAAGACACAATTGGATTTTATATCATGTATGAAGACACGATTGGGTTTTATCACGTGTATGAAGACACGATTATTAGTTTATTTAATAAATATGAGTGTAGAACTGTCGATTCTCAAAGAGGACTCGAGGATATTTATATATTTCTAATGGATAAGATAATTAACCATT